ACACACACACACACACACACACACACACACACACACACACACACACACACACACACACACACACACACACGTACGTTAAACATATGGTCTCTTGTGGACTCTAAGCATCATATCTGTTTAACTTTTCACCCTTTTTGTCTTAAATACTGAACTGGTAAAAAATGTGTTAAATGTAATATTTTGGTAACTTTTATAGTTTTCATTTGGTAAAATTTCACTTTTAACAATATATAATTTCTGTTGTTATAGTATTTAAATTGTACATATTTTTCAGATATAAGTATGTGAAAGAGTTAGGCTTTATGAGTAGCACTGGATACCTGTTAATAAAACTTGATTTCTGGTTTCACTATCTCATTGGGGTCCCTGTATGGCTCAAGTTGTGCCTCAGTCTCCTGGTTATAGCTAGGAAAGTCCTTTTAGACAAAATAAAAATCTTTTCTTTTTGCGGTGCTAGGGATTTCCTAGGACCTTTTTCATGCATGCTAAGGAAGCCTTCTTCTCCCTCTAACTTCTTCAAATCCTAGGATTACTAATCACAATGTTTTCCTGGCTTCTTATGAACTGATTTCTATGGGAGACTGGTTACATTTACTTGTCATTATTTCTTAACGTTTTTCTCTAGTTTGGGGATCATTTTCACAGTTTTATCCTTCACAGCATTCTTAATACTTTCTTTCATGTTTTACTAATGTCTTATATATCCTAAGTTGTATAACAACCCTTTAAAAGCTCTTTATCATCACCTAACTGAAATATGAGTAACGTATATACAAGTAAAAATATTTTTTTCTATTTAACACCTTTCTCTAGGTTTGGTATATTACAAGAAAAATAAAACATTTTAAGTCATTTTTAGAACAAATGTATGTATCTAATTCTTTCCCAAATAAGCATTATTAAGGAATATTTCTATATTTGACTAAAAGTAACTTGGGAATGAGCATAGATATTCTGTTCAAAGGCCTTTAGAATGTATTAGGCTTTTGGTGGGGGGGGGTGTAGTCGTGGAGATGGGAGGGCAGGAATGGTAAGGAAAAAACAAAAGGAGGAGGCAATAATGCTTGATAAGAAATGTACTCATTACCTTGCTCATGTAATTGTAACCCCTCTGCACAGTATTTTCACAATAAAAAACTTATTAATTAAAATAAAAAATAAAACATAAAAAAAAGAATGTATTAGGCTTTTTACTCATACTGGAGACAATCGATATAGTAGAAACAATTAGAGGAAAAATATAAAAAGAAAAATAGATACATTTGTAAGAGGTGAAAAGACAAACAAGCACCAATCTAAAAAATAGTTGAATCTTTCTAGAATTTTTACTTTGGACAAGAAAAAAAAAATGCTTTCAGGCTAGTTCCTTTATGAAGAAATGTAAGAAGGCAAGTAAGAGACCTAAGTAGGAAATAGGTATGTTCAGTACTTGTTTAGGGACTTAAAAGCTAAAATAATCCGGAAGACTGTATTTAAATATTTAGGCCATTTGACCAGCTTAAAAGAATACACATTTTAATTTTAGTTGTTGAAATCTGTTCATTTTGAATACCCTGAGCTTTGATAGTCTAAAAAGTGTTTGTTCCTTTTTCTAGGAAGTGCGGTAGAGAAATCCTTGGCTGTCAGCCAAGGTGGCGAGCTCTATGAAGAGTGGCTGGAACTTGGAAATGGTTGTCTCTGCTGCTCAGTAAAGTAAGGAATATGTGCCTGCGGGTTTACTGTTATGTGTTCAGTTTTGATTTTCTTGTGTAGTTTACCTCAGTTTATACACTTTGCTTAATTATATTTCCAAGTAGCAAACAGATGTTCTCAAACTCATTCTCTTATAAACTGTTTCTTGCTACTAATTTTTCTATCTGCTCTAATGCCTTTTTCCTCCTGGTGAGGTTTTTTTTTTTTTTAACCTGTCAGAGGCTTGAACTCAGGGTCGAGATGCTATCCCTGAGCTAGTACTTTACCACTTGAGCCACAGCTCCACTTTTGGCTTTTTTGGCAGTTTATTGACGGTAAGAGTTTCACAGACTTTACTGCCCAGGCTGACTTTGAACCATGATCTTTAGATCTCATTCTCCTAAGTAGGTAGGATTACAGAGTGAGCTACCAGTGTCTGGTGTGGACTTTTTTCCTAGTGTTTTTGATTTCAGGATTTATTTAATTTGTAATGTCTTTTCTATGAAAGTCCCACTTCTTATGTAAAAAATTATTATTTTTAACATGTCAGTTTTATTTTCAAATATAGAGCCTCTAAAAACAAAACTAAATGACTATCAAAAAGGAAAACGAAGCCAGTGCCAGTGGCTCATGCCTGTTATCTTAGCTACTCAGGAGGCTGAAATCTGAGGGTCGCAATTTGAAGCCAGCCCGGACAGAAAAGACCATGGGTTCTTATTTCCAATCTCTTCTGCTGTGGCTCGAGTGGTAGAGCACTAGCCTTGAGCACAAAGAGGCTCAGGGACAGCACCCAGACCCTGAGTTCAAGCCCTAGGATTAGCAAGAAGAAAAAGGAGAAGAATTTTACATTCTACCAGTTAAGTGTCCAAGGACAGTATCTGTTTTGTTCATTAAGATGTTTAGAATCCTAGTAGCATTCAGATGTTTCTTGGATAAATTAGGAATTCATGTACTTTTGATTTTGTGTACTCTAGTGAATCAGGTTTCTTCACTTGCTACTTGAAGTGTTTGATGCTATTAGGAAGAATGAAGTAGTCATAACACGTTCTTAACCAACCAAATTTTAATACATTCAGTATTTTCCTTCATTTTTGGTATAAGAAGAAAAGGAAATTTGACCTAGTACTCTAATTTACAATAGAATTAACTGATACATAATGATAGTATTATTTTAGCTGTCCCTTTAAACTACTGTAGGTCATAAATTTTATCATTATCTTAGATGTTGACATTTTTCTTTCATAAACCTATAAAAATAATAAAATTACTTCGGTCAGATAAGGCCCTCTCTACTTTTAAGTATAATAAAAATACTATCTCATCATGCACATTTCCTTTTGTATGTGTGTTTGTGCTGTGATTTGATCTCATGGCCTTTTGCTTTTACTCCATTTGCTTGCTTATGGATGGCACTTTACCATTTAAGCCACACCTCTAGTCCAGCTTTTTCTTTGTCAATTAGAGATAGAATCTCAAGGGCTTTTCTGCCTGGGCTGGCTTCATACTATTATCCTCCAGGTCTCACTCTCTTAAGTACCAAAGATTACAGGTGTGAACCATGAGTGCCAGGATATATACTTCTTTTTATCCGATAGTACATGCACCTGTTTTCTTCTCTTCATTCATAAGTCATGGATAGACTTTTTAAAAAAATTTTGAGGCAAGGTCTCACCATATCACACCATGTAGACCAGGCTGGCCTCAAACCTGTGAGCCTGTGCCCCCGCCTCTGAAGTGACGGAATTATAGGCATGCCACCTCCATGCCCCACTTGCATGGATATTCTCTGAGAAGATTAGGAAGGAGTTTAATTTTCATGTATCTTAAGGACATTTTGATGTGCTACTGAATGTAGTTTAACATTTTTACAATAATTTTAAATCATTCTGGTAACCAACTGTGTCTTGTAATTTTCCAGGGACAGTGGCCTTAGAGCTATTGAGAATTTGATGCAGAAGAAGGGAAAATTTGATTACATACTGTTAGAGACCACTGGGCTAGCAGATCCTGGTAAGAAATGACATTAATCAGAATATCATTCTTTGGTATTTTTAGTGTTTGTATTAAAGACTTTTTCTTTTTTTGTGTGTATGCCAGTTCTGGAGTTTGAATTCAGGGCCTAGGCACTGTCCCTGAGCTTTTCTGCTCAAGGCTGGCACTATACTACTTGAGCCCTATCTCCACTTCTGTCTTTGTGTGTATGTGGGTGTGTGTGTGCTACTCAGTCTCCTGAGTAGCTAGAATTACAGACATAGGCCACCAGCACCTGGCTTTATTAGAAAAATATTTTAAATGAATATTAAAGCTTTACTTTGTATTTAAGTTTTAATTCAAAAGAGGAAAAATTCTGAATTGCATCACAGATGATCAAACTATTTCTTGGTATTTTAAACAGTTTATAAAATTTGAAGTTGATTGAAGTTTCTTGGTAGGAAAAATGTTGTTAAAAATGGGAAATTTTTATGTAACTGTAACCCTTCTGTATATCACCTTTACAATAAAATTTTTAAAAAATTAAAAATGTAAAAAAGGGAAATTTAGGGGAAAACTGGAGCTATTCTGCTTTTGTGTACATATTTAATTGTTATAATTTTTTTTCTTTTTAAAAAATTTTGCAGAGGATTGAACCCAGGACTTTGTTCTGGCTAAGAACAAGCTATACTCCAGGCCCTCTGTTAGTTTTCCTAAAGGGTTAAAATAGAGATATATAAAGGTTTTTGGACTCCTATCCTAGCAGTACTGATTTCCCATAAATTAAGTCTTAGCATTGTATTTTTCTATTAATAAAATTGTAATAATTTTATTTGTAAATACTTTTATAAGACATCAAAGATGTAAGTTAAACCAAGTGTCCTGAGTCTTTTTCAAGTGTAAAATTAATGCTTAGTCATAAAGCTTTTTACCAGTGAATAGAGAAATATATACCTTTCTATGGAAATCTACATCAAATTGACTTGTTTCTAGCAAGTTTACCTTCTTACTAAACTCTAATAAGGTCTCCTTATTTTCATGAAGGACTTTTCGGTAAAATATTTCTTCTGAGAACACATAGTGCTTGTTGTGTGAGTCTGGCCCATACCATAGTCTTTGAGAGTGAGGTAGAATAAGGATCACAGTGGCCTAAAAGAAACATTGAAGTATACAAAGGATTCAAATATAATCAGTGGTTATTGTACATAAATGTGTTTTAGAATAACATTTCTATGTTTTCAAAGTTGGAGCTAGTTAGGTCCTTTACAATAGACATGAGTTTAATGCTCTACTATTTCATTTATGCCTCCAGTAAGACATTTTGTTGGTTAATTGGAGATGGCATCTTACAACCTTTTCTGCCTAGGCTGAAAAGTGGGTACTCTGCTTAGGAGCTCTGTTCTCTTCATATCGAGTTTACTTTGTTCTCTCTCACCAGTTCTAATTGTTATTTTGGCCCAGCTGTTGCACCTGCATTTACTGAGATTGTCTCAAGTCTTCTTTTTGCCAGTAGCTTTGCCTCTCTGAGTGTCTATTCATTGTTCACTGTTTCAAATGAATGAATTGGTGAAGCAGTAGTGTTATATTGACTCCACATTTGTTTCAGCAGTATATAAGCTCTCCTTATAGTTTTTTAGGTTCTTTTTATAAAGAAGTCCTTTGGAATGTTTTCTTGTTGTTTTCTCTTAGGTTAAGTTTCCTTCCAGAATCAGTTCTTTGTTATTTATGTGCCCTATTCATTTTTTCAGTTTTTTTCTTGCCTTTTTATTGTTTATCTCTTCTTTTGTTTTTTTCTCTTATAATGCATGTATTTGTGCTTGATATAGCAGGCTCAGAGAAATTTTATTTACTTGTGGTATTGATAAAGAATTCTTTTTAATACTCTACCTATCTTAAAGTTTTATTTTTGTGCCAATCCTGGGGCTTAAACTCAGGGCGTGGGCACTGTGTCTGAGCTTTTTGGCTCAAGGCTAGAATTCTACCATTCAAGTGACACCTCTACTTCTGACTTTTGGTGGTTAATTGGAGATAAGAGTCTCACACACGTTCTTATCTGGGATAGCTTGGAACCAGGATCCTTAGATCTAGCCTTTGAGTAGCTAGGATTACAGACATGAGCCACTGGCACCTGGCTTACTTAAACTTCTTTTGTGAGTGTGTGGAGGGAGTGGTGTTGTGAGTCAGACCCCTGTCTTCAAGTGTGTTGGGCAAAGCACTCTACAGCTCAGCTATATCCCAGATCCCCAAATGTGTTTCCTTGAGCCCTCACTTGAAAGCTGGATATTGAGAAAAGAGAAGCAAAGAAATATTAGGGAGCCCAGAAACTCAGATTGGGCAGGCAATGTGTCTATTAGGCCCTGCTCTCTTAAAAATATCCAGTAGGATCACCTTGTGATTGGTATGATACTTTGTGTGGGAGCATCATCAAACTTCAGACCTCTGGCTCTCTTTTGCTCTCAACCCTAGACTAAATGTCCTCTCTCAAGCATAGAGATGGTTAGAAACTTTTGAATTTTGTTGAGATTTCCCTTTATTACTTATTTTTTCCTCATATCTACTACTAGTCATTTTGGGAGGCATTTCTGATAAGTTGTAAGATTTTGAATTTTCAAAGCCCTCCTATTGGTAGGTGGCTTAGGAATGACCGTAACACACATAGAATTGTTTCTTATTTTGATGATGTCATTCTTCGAAATTTACAATAGGAGTTTCTGTGTGTGTGGTATTGTTTTTTGTTTGTTTTTGGTACTGGTACTAGGGTTTGAACTCAGGAAGGACCTCGTGCTGAAATTAGACTTTTTACCCAGGCTGACCTCAAACAATGATCTTCCCAATATCAGAAGCTAAGAGTTCAGGTTTGGTCCATTGCTCTTATTGTTTTATAAAGTTTTGAAGAAGGGAAATTCTGTAATCTGGTTCAGAGGTAATGCTTTGTCACAAATGACATCTGTCATTTAAATTATGTGTCGGGAGTGGAGCTGTCTTGGGCTTTATAGAATGTTTAGAAGCATCCCTAGTTTCTCCCCACTGCATGTAGGTAGTACCCAAAACAGTGTTCCCGAAGGAGAAAAATCACTCTTGTTTCCTTTCCCTGAATACCCATTCCTAACACCTCTATACAGATTTTACATAGTTCCTTAAAAGCTTTAATATACTCTGACAGTTCAGCTTTAATGATAGGCAAATGTTAGTGGTAATAGTTAAGCCTATTTATCTGAATAGAAATCAACAATTTTTTAAACTTATAGAACTTTTTATATATAATGTTAGGTGTCTCACCAAGTGAAAAAAAAATTGTGACTTATTTTTGGAGTAATGATGCAATAGATTTACTTTTTTGTTGTTGTTGTTCCCCTATTAATTGAAATCATGTCTTTAGCTAAGAAAGTGAAGGAAATTCATATTGGCAAATCAGTTGTTTCCTGTTTAGGAGACAGAGACTCCCCAGTTCTAAGTTAAATAGTTGTCATGGTACAGTAATTTCCTTGAGAAGGACAGGCATTGATTCAGCCTCAGTTACTCACAAATCCTATTTCAGTCAAATTGGAAACCTATTAAGTTTTGGGGGAAAAAAAATCAATAGGTATCAGGAAACCATTAGATCTTGTGGCCCTTGCTATATCTTGCATGAGTAATCACTGTAAGCAGCTGACAGGCATTTCAGTGTTGACACAGAGTGATGCTTGGGGGACCACATCTTGTCAGGGTATGTGAGCAGCTTCACACAGTGGAATGAGTTTACTTCTCCTTATTTCCCCGATGCTCATTCTTTCAGACAGCACTGTCACTAACTGGGCCTGAGATGCTTTGGAAAAAATCACATACTTTCCTTGCTGTCAGTTTTCTTTTTCTTGTGCGGTGGCACACTAATCAGGCTGTGTGGTTTGATCTTCAAGCCGATTCTGTCAAAAACAAGCTTTAACTTATTACTTACAAATAAGTTTTTCCTCAGACCCAAATTTTATGCACAGTACTAAGCAAATGGTGAGAAAATCAATCACTAACACCAGAGAATTCATATAATTTTACTCCTGTTCTTCTTCTATGAAAATCACATGAAATTCCTTTTTTGGACAAAATGACTTTGGAGTTGTCTTATGTTTTGTTCATTTTTCCTTTGAGGCAAGAATTTGTGAACCATATGAATATTCAGGAGATGAAAATAAGTCCCATGCCCAAATTGCTTGCTACCATCAGTTGGTAAATAAGGCGACATCAACACAAGCTTGCTGTATGTGGCAAGAGTTTGTCTTCTTTGTTTATGTTTTTGAGGAAACAGAGGGCTAGAAATGACTGTAAATAGTAAAAGGTTCCTTCTAGTAGAATGACTGAAAGTCCAAGTTTAGCCAGTGTGTATGTTTGCCTGCTAATTCTGTCAGGACACATTAAAACAGATAAAATCATGCTTTAAAGGTTGCAGAAATTTTATTTAGTGAATACTGTAATGTGTTCTTCCAGGTGCTGTGGCTTCCATGTTTTGGGTTGATGCTGACTTAGGGAGTGAGATTTATCTTGATGGTAAGTTAATTTTCTTTTGCTTTTAGGCAAATTTATTTTTATTGTCAGGTCATATTTTTTTTAGCTGAACTGATTGAGAATTTAGATACTTGCAGTATAATATAAAATGTTTTTATGAGCTGTGCTTAGAGAGTCTAGGCATCAGATAACCTAAAATGTCTCCAATTCTTTAGATTATTTAACTGTTAAGAGAATTTTGATTTTAATTATGTGGAAATAAACTAGGAGAATAACTTGACTTCTGTAATGTATCACATTTTACTTTATGAAATTCATTATGTTTTGGATGGTAAGCTTTTAATCACCAAAGGAATCTTTTTTCTTGTTTGCTAATTTAATTTAAAATTTATGCCTTCTTGGTTCTTATAAACAGTGCTAGGCACTTAGTTCATATTTGAAATGCATTTATTTTATTGAATTGTATTAGTAAGAGAAAAAAGCGAATAGCATTTATAAACTCAAAAACATTAGTTTTATTTTTTCTCAACTACGGTTGTGCAGTATAAATAAAAAATTTTTTAAAGGTGATTAAAATGTTTATTCCTTTATAGGTATCATAACTGTTGTAGATTCAAAATATGGATTAAAAGTAAGTTGAAAGATTATGAGTTGCTAAGTGTTAAGAGCTAGGAAAATAACATTTCATTGTATTATTTTGTCTCTGTATCTGTTTGAAACTTTTCTTAAAATTTTTTTCAAAATAGTATTTTGAATAATAGATAATTTACATTTTAAAGTATCTTTTTGTGTTTTTAAATGATATTATTTCTATTCTTGTTTGATGTTAAGGTAAAATTTAGACTTACTATAATATTTCATAATAAGGATGTGGGGTTAGGATAAAGTTTGAGTATGTAATTCCAGCACAATTCAACCCCAATATAGATAAATTTTCTGTTTGGTGAAAGAACTTAAGCTTAGTAAAAACATTACTTTGTAAAATTGCTACCAAACATAAGCTGGAAGTCAGTTGTGAAAGAAACTGCTTTACAAATAGAGAAAGAGAGGGAAATACAGTCATTATATTCAATGTACGTGTGTGAAAATGGAACACCATAACTTGGGGACTGGATTGGAAAAGATGGAGGAGAAGGATGGAAGGCGTGACTGATGAAGACACATTGTTGAATTGGACTTGATTATCTGTACTGATAATCACACTTGTTGGATTGGACTTGATTATCTGTACTGATAATCACACTTGTTGGATTGAAACCCTTTTTGTACAACTACCTAAAGATAATAATAACAACAACAATAATAAATAGTGCTTTACTTCATCTTGAGGAAATTAGGATTTATACATAGGGCCAATGAGGAGAAATTCCCCATCAAAAGACACTGCTGGAGTGATTGGCTTAGATCACTGCTTAGATTCTAAATTGCATTTAGTTGGCTTCAATTTGTAAACTGTCCTTAATATGACTTAAAAGCATATTGTTACATTAAATACAACAGCGTCTTTCAACTCCCCAAGTGAAGTATTGTTACTAAAAGAATCAGAGAATGAATTTATCCTCTGTCCCAGCTATCCCCACAGCAATCCAGACATATCCTCAGGGACCAAAGTAAGAAAGTTTCAAGAGGTTTAAGTCAGTATTTAAAAAATTAGTCACTTGAATTCTGTTCCCTGACTTAGCTGTACTTGTTGATTTTTGAAGTTTTTCTTCCGAATCTTGAGTGAAGATATATGCAGTTCATCAAAGGGTCTCCAGCACTCCTCAACCAGCCCTTCATCCTCTCTCCCATAGAGTGCCCTGATCTTAGAAGTTCGGAAGAGAATTCCTTTGTTGGAGTCTAAATTTTAAATTTATGAATAGAGTAATAATCAAAGACTCCAAAATTTGTGAATAGAATAGAAATCAAAGATCCCTCAAATTATAATATTTTTGTAGTTTTACTTTATAAATCTACTGGCTTTTAAAATCGTATTTCAAACAAATTGTTAAAAAAATAATCCCTTCAAACTGCCAAATTCTTCATTTTGGAGGACTTATCTATTATAGACATGTCTGAATCCACCTCCTTTATCATTTTATTACCAAATTTGGTAATAGCATAGATAACAGATAGGTCATTTCATTTGTTGTTTATAGACTTAACATGCTACACCCAAAGTAAAACTGGTTTAAGATTATGGAACGTTAAATGCATAATTGGGTGTAGTGAAGACTTAAATAGAATCTATTATCTGAATGATAGATGCTGAAAAAAAACAAAGCAGCATTCTGAATAATGCAAACACAGTATATGTTTAACCCCCTGCCACCTTGATAAAACCTCTTAAATTATTAAATCAATAAACCTACACAAAACTGACATACTGTCAGGATAATAGAAACTTTAGATTTTCAAAGTCAAATGCCAGATAAATAACTTTGCCTTTATATAAAGAATTTGCCAACTTGTCCAATTCCTCTGGTTGCAAAGCTTGACCTCAGTAGCTGCTTGGGATTCAGAGAATTCCGAGGCAGTACAAGTAATGACACTTGGATAATGGGCAGCAATTTAAGGGTGTCATGCTTCACAGAGCCAGCCCATCACAAGTAAAGCTGAGAAATGGTACCCTGTGGCCAGCCAGCAAAATTGAAACTGAAATGGTAATTGATATCATGGGCTATCACTCTAATGGGATTGTCACCCATTGATCTGAAATATTCATTTTTTAATCATGGGCAAAGAATTGGACAAGTGAAAATGACAGCTCTCTATTCTCAAGACTTGACACCCAGGCTACTGACATTGTTCTTTTCAGGTCTACAAATGTGACAGCATTTAATGCAATAGAATCAATGAATGAAGTTACACATAAAAGGTCAAGTGAGCAGTTTCTTTTTGGCTCCTCTGTTATATTGCACAAACTGTTGAGACAATTCAGTCAGAAAACAATTTGCCTTGGGAAAGGCCAGAAAAATAAACATTATGCAGTCCTGTGTTTTTTTTTAAAGTGAAAGTATTAGATCTGTTTGAAAGAATCTATATGAAAGAAATTGCTGCTGCTACTCCTTCTCTAAATGATGTCTGACATCATTGATACAGATATTTTCCCACCGTGGTCAATAACACTGTTCTTACTTAGCCAGTGAGTTATAGGATAGTCTTAATTTTACTAATGGCTTTCTGGTCCAGCTTGTTTATTTTGCAGAAGAGGATACCTTGTATTCCTTCTATATATCTACAGTAGTGTTATGTCAAAGGATTTCTTGGTTTCTTTCCCTTCTAAATTTATTGAGTTAAAGCCAAAATTGTGTATATTACAAGTACATACTTGCTCTCCTGACATATGTGTGTGTACCTAATAATATATTCTGAGATATGGGTATATAGTTGAATGTGAAACAGTCAACATTCATCAGCTCATAAACGAGCCATAATTATCTGTGATTATTACATGTCATATTCTTAATAGACTTGTGTGTGTTGGCAGGCTTATATTTGGGGAGATTGCTACTATTTTTACATTTAATACTTCCTGACTGTCTGGAACTAATAAAATGTTAGTCAATTCTATTTAGCTTTGAATGGAGATATCTAATCTTTTAGAGAAGCAAATGGTTACATAATTTTAAAACACATAGCTGATACTTCTGTCATTATTTTTGTGCTTTCTAAACTCACAGCCAGATATGTAAGGTCAACAATATTATATTTTGAAAAATATTCCAGAGTAGTTTATTTTTTAAATTTGTTTTACTGGGAATTGAACACAAGGTCTCAAACTCTTACTTGGCTTTTTTGCTCAAAGCTGGCACTCTGCCACTTGAACCATAATTCCACTTGTGGTTGGTTTTATTTTTGTTTTTTTTTTTGGTCAGGTGTGGGGCCTGAACTCTGGGCCTGGCTGCTGTTCCTCAGCTCTTCAGCTCAAGCCTAGCACCGTACCACTTGAGCAACAGCACCACTTCTGGCTTTTTTTTGTTTATGTAGTGCTGAGGTATCGAACCCAGGGCCTCATGCATGCAAGGCAAGCACTCTACCACTGAGCTACCTTCCCAGTACCACTTTTGGCTTTTTGATAGCTAACTGGAAATAAAAATCTCATAGACTTTTTTGGTTGGGTTGCCTTCAAATCACAATCCTCAGCTCTCAGCTTCCTGAGTAGCTGGAATTCCAGCTAGTACACAGCTTTTTTTCAGTTTTAAAATTACCTGCAATGTTACATGATCATCCAGAAGCAAAAGCCTTGTTACCACTGGGTCATTGTTAAGTAGATTTACTGTTCAACGGAAAGGGATTTATGACATAGCATTTTTCATATTCCAACATCTCTGTATCTATGTTAGCAAATAAGTGTGTGGTGGGGTGTTAACTACAGTTAATTCAAGAGCTATGTGTTGGGTTTCTGTGCCAAGCATTTGTCTAGGGTCTGATAGTCATTTTCATTCTCTCGATACTTCAATAAAAGTAATAATAGCAATAGCTCTGGGGTGGTATCTAAATATGGCATCCTGTGATGGTGAGGGTTTTAAGATTCTTTATACAATAAGAATAATTATTTCCCATAATCACTATAAAGTCTAAATGAAATAATATAACTAAAGGAATTTAATATATGTGACATTCAATTCAAATATATAGAGTATTACTATTCATCAATACCTTAGTAACCAGTCTTTTTATTGTGCTAGGAAACCTCTGTTGAGCATTGAGGTGATGAGGGGTGGATATGATTTTTCAGAGTTGAAAATCGCCATTTTCCTTATGGCAAGTTGATGCCTTTAGGATGTAAGTAGAAATATAGGGAGGGAAGCTAGCTTCAGAGAGATGTTTTCATGTGCCTCATGATTCAGATCCCAGTGGTTCATGATTGTGATCCTAGTCACTTGGGAGTTGAGATAATGGGAGAATCTGGTTTGAGGCCAGCTCGAACAAAAATATTTTTTCACTCTTTCTCAAACAGTTGCTGGATGCTGCGGTACACACCTGTCATTCTACCTTTGTGAGGCATAAATAGGCAGATTGGATTCCAGACATCAAGAAGTGAGATCTGATCTCACAAATAACCAGTGTCAAGATGGAGCTGAAGGCATTCCTCAGTAAAACACCTGCCTAGCAAGGGCAAGACCTTGAGCTCAATTCCTAGTACCGCAAAACAAAACTAAACAAACAAACAAAAACCCCACCTCTTGGCTCTTGAAATCAATGGCAAAGTCTTTTAAAGGGAGCTAGCCTGACTCTGGAGAGATTAATAAAATGAACAGTTGCGTTAGGAGTCTAGATTACTCAGCTATGAGTTTAGGTTTGTGTTCTTCCCGCCATCTCTCTTTTAAGGGAAATTAAAGGGCCTGGTACTTAGTTCATCCTGTGTATGGTTTTGGGATAGAGAGTTAATAGGAACAGAAGGATGGATGGATGGATGTTAGATTTCAAGAAAGTAACATTTCAATGGTTATCTTCATTTGTATAACTAATAATGAATGTTTAGAACAAAAACAGCTTTATAAAAAAGTACATAAATTTGGAACTACAGTTTTTATGATTTTGTGGTACATTTTAAATGGGGAGGGGTGTCTTTTTAAGAAAAAGAAAGGGCAGGAGTATACAATTTTAATTTCCTCACTGTCCTAGACTCACCATAGAAAAATGTACAGATGAGGAATAAAACACTTTCAGATAGAAAGGTAGTTAGCACAAAAAGACAAGTAATGCATGACTTTATGTCAGGGGCTGAGGTAGAAGGGGAGAGTTAGGTAATGGGTACAAAGTCATAGCCAAAGAGAGGGAATATGTTCCTATTACATTCCACAATATCCTAGGATTATTACATTCCACAATATACTAGCCTAGAATTCAAAAACACAAGAAAAGAGGCTTTTGAATGTTGTCATAAAATCTGATCATTGAGTCAGATGATGAATAACCTGTATCCCGAGTTGATCAGTATATTTGTATGTACTAGAACATCACATTGTACCTGTGACAATGGCTACCCATTACCTGTCAGTTAAGAAAAATAAACTAGAACGGGCACCAGTGGCTCATGCCTGGAATACTAACTGCTCAGGAGGCTGAGATCTGAGGATCGCGGTTTGAAGCTAGCCTGGGCAGAAAAGTCTGGTTGATACTCTTATCTCCAATTAACCACTCAAAAAACCAGAAGTTGCGCTGTAGCTCAAGTGGTAGAGCACCAGCCTTGCGCACAGAGGCTCAGTGACAGCACCCACATCCTGAGTTCAAGCTTTACACTGACCAAAAAAAAAGAATGAAAAAAAAAAAGAAACTACAAGAAAGATTTTTAGAAGTACTTCTGGGATGGTCTCATTAGGGGCAAGAAAGCTGTCTCTTAGAAAAATCCTTCCTGTTGACATTAGATTTTGTACTATAACGCAGTAACTTTTTTTTTTCAAACTTTCTTTTTGTTTAGCATTTAACAGAAGAAAAACCCGATGGCCTTATCAATGAAGCGTCTAGGTATTCATATTTAAAGTTTATATTGATTTCTACTCATTACTAAGAAAAACTCATTAATATGACACCACAAAACAAACTAAAAAGTATAAATGTGAGTAAGGAAAATGTATTTTTCCCCATAAATTTCTGCTATTCATCATGGTCTGATAGCTAACATATTATTTAAAACCACTTATATTACAAAGAGAAGGCTGAGCATAGAAGTTCTTTGATTTTTGAGGAATTTGAGAAATGTTACCATTGAAAACTATTCTTGGATAGTATCTTTGGAATTGAAGATTATTATAAAAATAAGGCTCGCTCATTTATTGCTCTGACTGCATCAGTGTTCATTGTTACCCAGAAAAGGTTAAAAATATGGAAATGCTTTTGACACATAAACCATATTAAACCTAAATACCTTTGTATTCTTAACTGATTGGTCTTTAGATGGATAATTATTTAAGTTAGTTTGCTTACACTTAGCAGATTCTTGCAGTGGGATTTAGGATTCAGGGTAGATGACAGTCTCTAAATATGCTACTGAATTTAACAATGAGGCTCCCATCCTTTGAATTGGGATGGGTGGTCCAGGTGTAGGCAAGAAAGATTGCAAACAAACACACAAGCAAGTGATTCCAGATCATTTTGAGATATTATGCTATCTTATTTTGTAATCCTACCTACATAAACACCGTATTTTGTATGTGATTATGACACAAACTAGAATGAACTTAAATATTGCTGTAACTCTTAGGAAAATATTTAATGTAGAAAATATACACAAGCTAAATAGAAAATAGCCAATGCTTATAAAGGTCAAATGAAGATTGTACAAATCCTTTAATTTAAAGATTGTATCTATTGGAAGGGGAAGTGTGACTCAAGTGGTAGTGACAGCTTTGAGTGAAAAAACCAAGCAAGAGCACAACCCCTAATATTGGCACACACACAAAAGGATTGCATTTTTTTTGTTTTATGTATGGAGGTTTGAACATTCTTTCTTCATATGAAATTTACATAAACAGAAACATGATTATGATACACAGTCCATTGAAATCTGCCTTTTTAGTGATTTAAAATTAAATTAGTTTTGAGAATTTGGTTGTGATCTTTGATAGATAACATAAGACTAGATTAGAACAAATAATCCAGAGATTTGCCATGCTCTTGGTGGCTTCTACCTGTAATCATAGCTATTCAGGAGGTGGAGATCTGGTGGAAGGCCAGTGTTTGAAATCAGCAGAGAGAGAGAAGTCTAAAACACTTCATCTCTAATTATCCAGCAAAATGTTAGACTGTGAGTATAGCTCAAGTAGTAGAGTATAGAATATCAGCTTTGAGGAAAGAAAGCCAAGCAAGTGTGAGAGATGATAGAATTCAAGCTCAGGTAGTAGCACAAACATCCATCAAAATAAAAACTAACAGTATTTCCTGAAGAACTGAGGAAAAATGAAAGATCCCTCAGCTCTTTACTGTTAGTAGAAAACATAATTTCTGATCATAATAATATATTTTGTTCTATAAGCATACTGCCAGTTTGGAATTTCTATCTTTTATAGAGACTGAAATTAATATTTATAGTGGTGAAGAACTTGATATTTGTATAAGATCCTGATATATCTTCTCAAGTAGGTTTTTTTAAAGCCATGACTGTTTAGTCACTCTCTTTTCTGCATTTATTAGAAATTGTAAATATTACAAGAAGTAAGTAGACTATCCTCATTCCTCTCACTGAATATCTAAATTGTATGCTTTTCTTTATGAAGAAAATAGCAAGTTGAAAATTTTTCTTTGGGTTATAAACATTTTGCAGCTTAGCTTCATAAAAGCTTCAGAGTAGTGAAATCTGAATTTATTTAGTGAGAATGCAATTTAATGACCTGAAGAACAAGTAGAGTCAATATTATAGAATCCTAAGTATTTCTTAACTGATATATTAACATAACAAAATTGTTATTTCTTAACATTTCTTTTGACACCTGTTCTTTTTTTTTTCTTGCTGTTCTAGGCAAGTTGCTTTGGCAGATATGATTCTCATCAATAAAACAGATTTGATTTCAGAAGAGGAGTTAAACAAATTACGAACAACTATTAGGTACACTAGATAGCAGTTGTATATTGTATATTGCAAAAAACCTAGAAGGAAGGATTTTGAATGTTTTCACAATAAGGAGGTGACAAATGTTTGAGAAAATACATGTGTTTAACCTGATTTAAGTGTTACACTAAATGTATACATGTATTGAAAACACTGGCCATCCCATTAAGTGTGTATAATTTTTATGAGTCAGTTAAAATGAAGTTAACTCGAATTACTTTTAGAATAGAGAGCAGCCATTAGCTACTACAAAATTCTAAGAGAATTAAGTAACTACATGTCCATGGATTCAGTATACAAAATATTTTCCCCCTGATTTGCTTGGAAGAAACTTAAGGGTCAAGGTTGACCTACCTCAGTGATTATTATGGAGTTACATGTAACAGTTATATGTAATAGTTGGATGTTAGGTCAATAGAATATATTATATATTATATATATATATATATTATACATATGTATATAATGCCCGTTGCTTGCAGGATTTAATTCAAATTCATACATAGTCCTCAAACTTCCTCTTTTTCTTTTCCTGTCTTCTCACCCTTTCCTAGTATTCAGACTCCATTTCCCCCAACTTTACCCAAGCCTGTGAATTTACTTTCCTATGAATGATGAACGTGCCTTGCCTGGTTCCAGGGTTTTCTTATGTTGCCAGTTTCTGAATCCCAATTTCCCCCTCCCCATCTCTCCCAAGCAACATTAGAGAGCTTATTTTTTTCAAAAAATCTCTCCCCAGCCCCTTGGCAAAGTTTTTCCTGACTCAGATAGTGTCTTCCCTCATAGGCAGCTGTCTTCCAGCGTGCTATAATGTCTTCAGTGTCCATGGGCAAGGCTGGTGGACACAGGACAATCTGAGTAAATACTCAACTACAGGTGGTGAGCCAACGGTCATTGCTGACTGTTCTGGAGGCTCCATTCCTTCTGGAACCAAGGATGGACATGTCAAGTGAGGTTATGTTCAGGGACTTTGCTTAGAATTGTCTTTAAAGACCTAAACTAGGCAGACAGAGATGCTACAACATTTTACTATTGGGGTATCTTTGTGCACAGTGGCTCTACATTGCTGTAGTGATATTCAGAGCTACTGCTGATAGCAGATTTTGACTCTGTTGTACTGGTTCATATAGTATAAATTACAAACTGAATCGATAAATCTATGATTCATTAAATAGTTGTTCGCAATGATTAATGATTACAAGAGAAGTTGATAGCTCTTCTCTATATTTGGTTTTGTTTTAATAGTAATATTCTTAAACTTTACTATACAGATGATGTTTCATGTAGAGAGCAGGTAATGTTTAGATATCGTTTGAGAATATGGAGCATGGGTTCTGCTAGAGTTCTAATCCCTGGTCTGTTTCTCAGTGTTCTTAAGGATTTATTTTATCTGTAAAACAGGAATAATACCTGTCTTATAAGTTTGCTTTGAGTTATACTGAGATAGTGCTGGTAAATCTGTGTACTACATGACAGTAAGCACTTTTGTACCTATTATTGTAGTGTAGAAGGTTTGTGGGGTTTTTTCCCCCCTTTAGAACATGTTCCAAAGAGAAGGCTAAGCAGTTTGTGAAGTACTTGAAGGAAAGGGAGAGATTTACCTCGCAATGTTGTGTGTGAGAAGGCTTACCATGAAAACAAGTTTGAACAAGTAGCACATATCTTGGTAACCATAAAAACAATGGAAGAAGTGATGATATATACAGGCAGGTAGATGAGGTGTTTGCTGTGTTGCAAGTACTTCTTGGTGCCATAGAGAGAACCATTTTCCTCTATTTTAGTTGTGGAGTCATTTTCACAGTGTGCTTAGGGAGAAGTTGGTTATCACTAGAAATTTGAACATGAGAATTACTAGATAACATAAACCTTCTTTTCTTTTCCTTTCCCTCCCCATTTTCTTGTCACTCTTCCATCCCGTCCTTTGTTCCTTAGTCCCTCCCTCCTTCCCTCTCCCTTTCCCACCCTCTTCTCTTTGTCTCCTTGTCTTCTTTCCTTCTTTTTTCTTTTGGTTGTACTGGGAATGGAACCCATGAATTTGAAGTGCATGTTATGCTAAGTAAATACTGTACCCCCACTGAGCCGGGTCCCCTTGAAATCGTCTTTTCTAAAGTGAAGGATATTTTTTTTTATTTTTTTAAATTTTTAACCATTTATAATATGTGGGATTTTATTGTGACATTTCCACATACACACAGTGCACTTAAAAAAATTCATCCTCCACCCCCCATATTCTGATTCCTCCCCTCTCTCCTCCCTCTTTTGGTGGGTTTCGTTATTCTGTCTTCATGTGTGCATGTGAGTGTATGTGCATGTGGATGCATGCTTATGCCTCAAGTGTAGGCTCTTTTTTTAATAGTAAAAGTATCTTCATAGGAAGATGAAAGTGAAGGGTCTTCTTTTATGTTGCCCACCCCTAGTCTATCACTGTGCAGTACATTTTAACATAGTGTATTTTCTTAATGCGTGAGTAGAATATACTAGATTTATAACTTTAAGAAAAAGAATAATTAAACTATAAGGAAGTTCAAGTTTTGTTTTTGCATATAGTTCCAGCAATATTTGTGTTTTCTTACTTTCTATTTTAGAAATAATGTGATTTGCGTATCCTTAATAAAATGAGCATTTAGCTTTTGACCTGCTTTTACTCATTTTTTTAATTTCAGATCCATAAATGGACTTGGAAATATCTTAGAAACACAAAGATCAAGGTATACTTAAAAATTCTTTTTCAGTAGCACATGTACTAAACAAAGCTATTACAACTCATAATTTTAGTTCATAAGCACTAATAAATATACTCAATTATAATGTAAGAAAGGTACTGGTACATTTTAAAATATGGAGTTGTTTAGAATGCCTGGGGGCTGTCCTTTGAGCTCTTTTGCTCAAGGCTAATTGGAGATAAGAGTCTCCTGGGTACTTTTCTGCCTGGTTTGGCTTCAAACTGAGTAGCTAAGATTTCAGGCATGAACCACTTGTACCCAGTTTGGGATGGTCTTTATAGGCTATTTTGCTATATTTAGTCTGTTTTGCTATATTTAGTTTGTTTTTGTAACTAAGACTATAGATCTACAGTAACGCTGTACAACGAAGCTTTTGTTTATTAAGGAGCAATAACTAAGACTTGCAATCAGGTGTGGTAGCATACATATATATGTATAAATAAAATCCCAGCACGTATATGTATATGTATAAAATCCAGCACATGGGAAGCTGAGGCAGAGAGGATTTTGAGTTCTAAGCCATCTGGGCCACATGATGAGACCCCATTCTTTCATACTCCAAAGAAGTCTGGAAAACTATGCTAAAGAATCTTATGTTAATTTAAGACATTTAAATGGCTAATACTTTAAAAATCTCATTTCACAGCTGTAAAAAAACAAAGCAACTATATTGTAAAAATCCATGGGGTCTTTACCTTTAAATTCTTGGTATATTCCTTTATAGCATTTTTATTTAAAGTCTTTTAGGTTCTTTTCCTTTTTGTTGTTGGTATGGCTCTGTTCATACAGATGTGGTTCATTTTATACAAAAGACATGCTCTTAAAATATTTTTGTAGCTTGAACTGTTTTCCACCAAGTTGCGTCATGATTTAGAAAAATTCCTGGATTAAGGTATTTTATTAAGGTCATGTGTTTGGTGAGAAGGAACTCAGCATCTGATATATGCCACAGGGCGCAGCCAGCAGCTCTGTGGCCTTGAGCCACACAGTCCCAGGTTGAGAGGTTCCTTGAAGTGCAGCCGGGGCCTGCTATGGCAGAGCTTAGAGGTGCTGACAGACTACCAGAAGCATTAGGAGGTGGGAAGGCAGCAGCTGCTTATAAGCTTGAGAGCAGCTGGGGAGTGAGTTTGGAACGCATTCTCAGGAACCACTCCTGCTGACAGTGGAGGAAAAATGCCTGCAGAGTGAGTCCTTTGCAGGCACTGTAGGCCTGGTGTGAGCGGATGCACTCCTGGAATTTCCAGTGCCATTATATCAGTCTTGTAGTCTCTAACTCATGCTAAGACATTCCTCAGCATATCTTCTTCCTATTGCACTATGCCTTGCTTCTCACCTTAGTTTTAATTTCTTTACAAAGTAACAGACACAACTGAATACTGCTTAAATGAGCTTTAAAGAAATCATATTTGTAAATAACTGTGGCTGTAAGAGCATTTCTTTAGCAACCATATTAAATCAAGTCTATTTTGTCTGATTTCATTTTTAAAGTATGTCATAAATAGGTTTGTTTCATCTTGCTTACTTTATTATGTCACTAGATAGATAGATAGATAGATAGATAAATAGATAAATGAAAATACCGTACAGAGGGGCTACAGTTACATGAGCAAGGTACTGAGTACATCTCTTATCAAGCTTTGTTGCCTCCTCCTTTGTTTCCCCTTCCCATCCTTTTATTTGCTATTTCTAATCTTCCTTCTAGTCTGGTTCTTGTCCTTTTCCTTCTTCCGGTCCCCCTTTCTCCCCACCCCCGCTTTTCCTTTTCCCTTTCTCATTCCCTGTCCTGCTTTAGACAGATAGTCTACCATTTGAATCACTCTCTCCAGCTCTTTTTTCTTTAGTTATTTTTGGGATAGAGTCTTGGATTTTTACCTAGGACTGACCTTTGAATGTAATGCTCCTACCTAGGGTCTCCCACGTATCTAGGATTGTAGTTATGTATGACGGTGTTTGGCTTACATGTTGATAGAATCTCATTAATTTTTGTCCAGTTTGCCTTGAATCATGATCCTTCTGATATCTGCCTCCTGACTAGGTAGGATTACAGATCTCAGCCATCATGCCCAGTACTCATTTCTGCTATTTCTAACATTTGTTCTAGTATAGAATAGTAAATATGCAAGGATTGTTACACTTCAAAAGGATGCATTAACAAGAGAATGAAGGTTTTTTTTTCTTCTATTTCTCCAGTATCTGATTCTGAAATTGTCTTCCCTGTAGGGAGAATTAAAACTGTGTTAGAGTCTTTATCTGTAAAGACCATAGAACAATTTACTGTTGAGTCATGAATCTTAGATTAAACATTCCCCAAGATTTCTTGAGGCACAGACATTTGAGCGTCTTAGTATGGAAGGTAGAAGTTTGCTTCCTAACAAAATATTTGAAATCACTTGGGAAGTTTATTTTTACATTTACATTTAGCATTTTGTAGTTGACAGCTGCTGTAAGCATGTGTAGAAAGGGCTTTCCATGTGTATTTAAGATTAAGGAATAAGAACAATGAATAGCATTGTTTTCTCTGTAAGGTTCAGAATTGATTTGGAGGCAACTCAACTTAAGTCTATGTGGTTGCATAGTCTTTAACTTTTTTGGACCTTAAAAATATAGTGATTTAATTGGACTGAACAATGGAAAATAAAAGTCAGTTGGTTGATAATAAATTAACCAGTTCAAACTACAAAACATTCTACTGAGTCCTGGGCATTTCATGGCAGATTAAAGACTTAAGTTGTAGTTAAGGCAAAGTTGCCTTTGAGCTCAGTCATTTGTTGAAAACAGATGCAAACAGGCAAAAGATAACATATTAGATATTACTAATATATCACAACAGCAATATTAAAGTTCACAGGGTCCTGTAAGTTTAGGAAAGTAGAAAGGGATAGCTCTTCATGCTTCCTGATGAAACACATGGAGCATTTTTACTGGGAAAGTGATTATTGATCTGAGTCCTAAAGAATAAATGAGAGTTTTCCAAGTGACCTCTTTTGTCAGGGAGATTTTATATTCCAGGAACCTGTAACCATTTTAGGATTACTAGGACACATGGCAATGTGTGTGTGTGTGTGTGTGTGCACGCATGCATGTATATGTGTGTGCATGCACATGTGCATGTCAGTCCTGTAGCTTGAACTCAGGGCCTGGGAGCTGTTCCTGAGCTTTTATTGCTCAAAGCTAGTAATCTACCCCTTGAGCCAGAGCTCTATTTCCAGCTTTTTGGTGATTAATTGGAGATAAGAGTGTCATAGACTTTCCTGCCCTGACTGTCTTCAAACCATTATCCTCAGATCTCAGCCTCCTGAGTAGCTAGGATTACAGGTGTGAACCACCAGTGCCCAATGACCCATGAGTTTTGTAGCAGAGAGAAAAGATATGTGGCTAAAGATCTTACCCCAAAAGATCTTATAACATGTTCCTTGTATTTTCTCCTATAAGCAGCAAGGAATTAGCGAAGGCTTTGAGGTTGACTTGATGTTGAGATTATTCTCTGATCCAGGAAATACAGGAAAGAGAAGCAACTTGGTGGGTTGGTGGTAGAACTAGGTTTGGAAAAGGTAACTAGGTCAGTTTTGTAAACAGTTCTGAGTTAAGTTTGAGATACTACTGAATAAGGCATTTGGAGTTCAGACCTGAGTGTTTAAACAACATCTACAGTTCATAAATCAGGGATTGGCTGACATACTCTGTAGAGAGACTCGTTGAATTTTGAAAGATGTAAATGCTCCATTTACACCATCATCCATTTACACTATTGCTAGAATAGCAGCTGAACTTGGTACTTCTAAGGAAAATAGGAAGAAAAATGAACATTTGAAGTTTTTTCTTTTCCCACTGAGTTTTAAAATGATTGTTATAGCTGGGTGCTGGTGGCTCATGCCTGTAATCCTAGCTACTCAGGAGGCTGAGATCTGAGGATTGAGGTTCAAAGCCAGCCCAGGCAGGAATCTCCGTGAGACTCTTATCTCCAGTAAACCACTAGAAAACCAGAAGTGACGCTGTGGCTCAAGTGGTAGAGCACTCGCCTTGAGCTGAAGAGCTGAGGGACAGCGCCCAGGCCCAGAGTTCAAGGCCCACTACTGACAAAAAATAAATAAAAAGTAAAATGATTGTTATAATCTTTATTTTTCTTAATGTTTTGGAAAACATTTGGCATTTTTATCTCTAAAGGAGAAAATTAAACACATTAAGCCCTAGAAATTGATTTTCTAATCACATGGCTCAAGTAAATGAAGCATTTTTTTTTTTTCGTGGGTAAAGTTCATCAGAACTTCCATCTGGAAGCTTAGACTTTGTCCTTTTAGTTGCTTCATGGAAAACTTAGTGAGAGACTTCAATATTTTATTCTCTGCAGAGGACAATAGATCAATAATAGACCAATAAGAGTTGGTCTAATAATGGACCAATAATCTGTTGAAACGATAGATCTGCTGTTGATTCTGTCAGTTTTAGAAATACCAGTAGAATTTGGTTTTGTAAAGCAGAATTAGCTCTCAGTGACATGTACCGTCTCAGGCACTGTCGTAGTGAAGCTGTGTATTTATTAAAAAGTGAATTAGATATTTACAAAATTCACATGAACAAACTCTACTCAAGTAAGGTGGTTTTCTAAAATAAAGATGATAAATATTGAGGAGGAACTCCATTTTTTTTTTATTTTACCTGTCATATATATTTGCTCAACTGTGGAGGTGAGACAGAAAGTAGGTTTCATGTTAAGACTGGTCTTTTAGTGAAAGTTGATACCAAAAAAATGTCTTCATGGAGCATTTACTTCTTTGCCTGATCATTTTCCTAATTCAGCACATCATGAGTGTCCAGAATTCCAACTGTTGATGGAATCTATTAAGTAGAACTTGGGAGCATTTGTCTTTAATAAAATGGGATTTCCCCATCTGCCAAGCTCAACACTCCCAGCCTAATAGTGTTGTTGCAGCCAGTGTGAGTGTGGGGCCTGCTACCAAGTCCCACGCAGGCGCAGCTGGCCAGCCCTGACTTCAAGGAGGTAATTGGGTTTTCATGTTTGGGCAGTGAGTAAATCTTGATGATGACAAATGAACTTCTGTTTTCTTTGTGAAAGAATATACTGAGTGTATTGAAAACTCCTGGAGTCTGACTTTTATATCTTTGTCCTTTCCCTTCATTTTAGCATTCTGAAGTCTGTGCTCTGCTGTTTTATAGGCTTTATGTTAATATTGGAAACCAGGACCCACCTATACATTTACCGTTGTAGATTTAAACTAAACTTATTACTAGTTGTGATATTATGTATTATTTGCATTTGCATCACTACATTCCTAGTAGGGTTTAATTATTACTAAATAATTGGGGTGGATTTTACCAGTACCGGGGCTTGAACTTAGGGCCTTGTGTTCTTGTTCAGCATTTTTTACTTATGGTGAATCCTCTACTACTTGAGCCATACCTCCAGTCCAACTTTTGGGCTGGTTTCTCAGACTTTTCTGCCTAGACTGGCTTTGAACTTCAATCCTTAGATCTTATCTTCCTGAGTAGGATTACAGGTGTGAGCCATAGGTATGTAGCATTTCTAAATATTTATTTATTATTAATAAGTTTTTTATTGTGAAAATGCCGTACAGAGGAGTTACAATTACATAAGCAAGGTAATGAGTACATTTCTTACCAAGCATTGTTGCCTCCTCGTTTGTTTCCCCTTACTCCGCACCACTTCCCTAAATAATTTTAAGAGAACTAATATCTATTTAGATACAGCATTGCAAATTGAGAAGTTGCCCTCTACAGGGGGCCCTAACCGAAGTCAGTGAAGTCAGACCTCCATGTAAATAGGGTCCTTGAGAAAATTAATATCTATAGTATAATAGTTGTTCTACTATTCCTCTTTTTTTAATTTATTTTTTTTACTGCTTAGACTAGAAACCAGAGCCTTGCACATACTGAATACTCTGTCACTCTGTTTTACCCCAGCCCCTGACACCTCAGTATTTTTTTTGGCCAGTCCTGGGAGTTGAACTTGGGACCTGCGCACGGTTCCCGAGCCTCCTTGTGTTCAAGGCTAGCACTCTAGTGCTTGAGCCACAGTGGCACTTCTGGCCTTTACTGAGTAGTTTATTGGAGATAAAAGTCTCACAAACTTTCCTTCCTGGGCTGGCTTCCAACTGGAATCCTCAGATCTCAGCCTCTTGTGTAGTTGGGATTACAGGTGTGAGCCACCAACACATAGTTCTCAGTATTTTTGTACTACCTTTTATCATGGGAGGAGAAATACAAAAATTCCAAAGGTTTTTGGGATATACCTGTATACTATGACCATTTGTCCTTTCTTTTGTTTCATAGTAATAAGTTTTGTTTCTAAGTAATAAGCTGCTTACAGAAACATGCTTTACTAAATATTTCTAAATTGTAGAAATATAGTGTTCAAACTGCATGTGAATTACATTTCAGGATTGAAAGAAATCCTCATGGGGGAGAAAAACTATTAACGAACCAAGTAATTTTCTGCTTAATCCTAACCATTCTCCGCTTTCATGAATTTTACATAGACATTTTAATAGCAGCCTTTTTGCTTCTTGCCTGTCCATTTTATGCGTTTCCTCAGGTAATGTTAAATCTTTTTGAGGGGGGTAGGGGAAGGCCTGGGGTTTGAACTCAGGGCCTGAGGTTTGCTAGGCAGGTGTTTTACTGCTAAGTCGCCCCCTCCAGTGTCCCTTGTTTGTTTTTGTGCTGGTTATTTTTAAGATAGGATCTTAGATCATGATCTGCCTATTTGAGGCTTCCCTTCTTAGGTAGCATGAAAGATGAGTATGACCTGCCCCAGATACTTTCTGGGAGATGGAATCTCTTAGACCTTCCCTGGCTAGTCTGGAACTGCTATTTTCTCAATCTCAGCCTAACACATAGCTTAGGATAGCCTATTCACAGGAGTCTCTTGAACTTTCTGCCTGAGTTGGCATCAAGCCACAATCCTTCTATTCTCAGCCTCTCATCTAGCTAGGATTACAGTCATGAAGTACCAGTGCCCAACTCCAGTTAATCTTTGTTTACATGTTTTTTATAAAAGAGTTTTAAAGTTTTTTTCTGAATTAACTGAATGTATTCATATCATTGTCAAATGTTCACATAAATTTTCTTCCTTTTAGAGTTGATCTCTCAAATGTATTAGATCTTCATGCTTTTGATGGTCTGTCTGGAATAAGGTATGTTTTTGTATTTTCAACAATTTTAATGTGTATATGTTATAGGAATGAGTTATACAAGTTCATCCCTTAAGTTTTCTGTCATTTCTTTTGCGTATAACTCATTCTAAATTAATTGTTAATGGGTTATTTGGAAATCACTTATGTGCTTTCCTATGAAAATTATGTTAATGAAGTTCAGAGAAGCAAGAAAATCACAGTTGGAGGATAGCATGGGCTGCATAGCGAGACCTTGTCTCAAAAAAACAAATTATAATGCAAATGGTAAGTCATCTGTAGAGACCCATCATTGATACTTCTACACCAAACCACTTATACTCCTATGGAGAAATGCATGAAGTAACACAGGAAATTGTAGCAAGTGCTCCTTTCTCCCTAGTGGTAGATAGCCTTCTTCCTCTTCCTGGAACAAACTTTTTGATAAAGGAGGCAAGGAAGATTATCCTTGGGTGTCAATATCTTCTCTTTTTAAAATTGTAAGAAGAACCTACAAATTGAGTCCTCTCTTCCTAACAGACTTTTATATGTACACAGTACAGAATTGATAACTAAAAGGCATGATGATGTGCAGCAGAGCTGAAGAATGTACTGAAATTTAGGCTCTCCCAGTCAGAGCTGCCTCTCTCTGCTCTGGCCTCTACTGTTCTGGTCTCTGCTGCTGTGGGGTTTATTACTTTAGGGACCTGATATAAGTGGAACCACGTCGCAGCTGTGCTTCCATGACTGCTTATTTCACTTGATGTCATGTCCTCATGTGCATTCACATTACCCTCACTGGAGGATTCCCTTCTGTTTTAAGGCTGAATATAACAGTACACTTTCATCTAGTACCATATCTGCCTTATCCATTCATTCATTGATGGACATGCATCCAGTGATGCATGCAATGAGTATCTTTTTAAGTTTCATGTGTGTCTACCCATACAAGATCATGAAAAGACACCTCTCTTGACTCTTGAATTGGTAAGGCAAATTTGGTTACTAATGGTAACTAGTAAATTTGGTAATAATTCTGTACCTGTGCTGCCTAATTCATATTCATTTATATATCTGTGTAATTTTGCTTTAGCCTTCAGAATTACACTGAACTCATACACAAACTTTTCTGTTTCTAAGGTAGAAATGACCCTAAACTCAAATAGTCTTCCTTCTTAGTTATCGATTTACTAGGAAGGTGATTGGCCAAAGGTGTGTCCTAAACAGTAAGAACATGCTAGCTGCTTCTGAAATGGCCATATGTCTAACCTGGTCTAGCCTTTTGTCTTTCTGATCTCTTTTTCTTTTATGAGCAGACTATAGAAAGTACATTTTACCTGAGTACTTAATGCTGTGTGAACAATTCCTCCACATACCTTTCTTTCACCCTTCACATCTGGCACAGAGCTGTATCATTTTGTTTGAAGCAAGGAACTGTTTCCTTGGCTATAGACCTTGTGATACTTTAGGTGTATTTACAAGGGAGAGAGGATGAAATAATATTGCCTTAAAGTTGCCTTCCTTAAACCATCTTTTTTCTACTGTGTCCATTTTTGCAAGGTGAATTGTCATTTACTACAAAACATTAAACTATTTCTCAGTTGAACTTCCTGTTTTCCCCTTTGTGTTTTGCTTCTTAGTAGTTTATTCATTAAAAAAGATGGTAGTATGACATTACTTCCTATCTTGATATTCAGGGTATCAATTTTGTTTTTTCCTTGCTGTAATTTTCTCTACTAAAGCATCCAGCTCATTACATTGTTCTAAATTTTTACTTGGGAGAGAAAAGTGTTCCATCTTAAGAAGAAAAGAGCTAAATTATTATTTTTACAGGACACAGTAATTTATGTCGTAAACACTAAGCTATTGCCGATATTCTCCTCAGTGTAAACACAGAAATTACTAGAAAATTATATACTTCAAGTGTCCAAAATGGGGATTCTGATTCACAAATTGTAGCTGTTGGTTCTTGTCCATTAGCCTTCAGTGCCCTTTACATTATTTCTGTGATAGAGAATATTGTGGGACACAGAATTCTGAGACTTCCTAGGAACTAAAATATTCCTTGTTAAATTTTCTACCTTCTGCTTGCATATGAAGTTGTGTGCACATTACCTAATAACGAATGTTGCACAGGACATACAGAAAAAGTGTAGGAATTCTTTCTACTCTCATTGAGAGCAGTTATGATGCTTTAGTGACAAGCTATGTGATGGAATCCCCTCCACTGTAGATAAGACCTTTGCTTGACTTTTTCTTTGCACTCAGCTGCTAAACCAGAGCTTCTCTTCCTGAGCAACCAGCTGGGAAGGATTTAAATTGACACTTTCTCTACTAAGACCCCCCAATGCGACTAATTCCCTCCAACAATTCCTACAAGTCTTTTCCCTTTCTTAAATTTGCTGTTACTAATTTACCCCTTGCTGATCTTCAACATAAAACATCTGCAAGGTTTTAAGTCCCTTTGCCCCACCCATATTTTCCCCAGCAGTGTGGAAACTTAGACTATAGTTGTTATGGTTATAATTTGTTCTGCCATATTCATCTCTGGGACCTTTCCATATCAGAGCAATGCATTCTTGGAATTCTGACTTTTTTCCCCCATAGCCTAATTGGTAACTGGCTGTATAAAAGTGTATATTTATGGATTCTGTTTGTTCTTTATTAAATAAACAGGTTCAAGGAAAAACTTTAAAAAGAAAATTTTACCCTTCTGATGTTCTTCTGCTAGTATTATTTTCCTGTTAGGAAGCTAGGGAGAATTAAGAAGCTTTGACCAATACTGAAAAAAAATATATATATATAATCTATAAATAATATATAATTAAGTATATATATATTTCTAAGCCTTCATGGAATTGGAATTATAAAGCAATTACTGATAGATTTGACTACATAAAAGTATCATAAAAAGGTTAGCTTCTCTTTTCATTGTGTATTTTTGCATGTGTATTTTATAGAATTTTTTTAAACGTTAACTTTTCTCTATTAGAATATGTGATCTGCATGAAGATTTGGTACTATCAAATAGATCCATTTGTGGAATCTCTCTTCTTATTTGGTTCTATGTCTCTAAGTAATGTGAAAGTTTAAGTGAAGTGTATTTATCTCTGAACTTACGGTCAGTTCTTAGTTTGCAGAAAAAACTTCAGCATGTGTCAGCAGTACCTCATCTTGATCAGGTAAAAAAAAAACTCACAGATTGTTTTATTAAGTATTTCTAAAAATTGTATTTTTGCAGTCAGTTATGATAGTTCCTTTTTTCAATTTCTTTTTTATCTTTTGGTGCCTCCTATTCAATCAGCTTGCTTGCTTGCTGCTGCTCTCCCCCTTGCCCTCAGCCTCCAGAATGGCACTTGCTGGGTATTTTGGAAATGGAGCCTCTCAAATGTTTTTGTCTAGGCTGGCCTTGATCCATGGTCCTCTGGGTCTCAGTCTCCTGAGTAGCTAGGATTACATGTATTAACCACCTGTGCCTGGCTTGTGTTGATGGTTTTCATAATTTTGAGTACTTGAGAGATTATCCAATTCAGCTTTTTAACACATTATAGGAATTTATCAATCCAGAGTTGTTTAGAATCTTAGGAATCCTATCTTGTTTTCTAGCTTCTCATCCTACCACTCAGCATTTTTTTTTTTAAATCAGTTCTTGTGATGGGAATTTCTACTTAAAATCAGCCTCAGAACTCTTATCTAGAGTCTATTTAGTCCATACTGAACAAACTGATTAATGAAAAGTCTGGTACAAGCATGGCATATTTAAATAAAAATTAACTTGAGTTTCACCTTTACATAACACTGTAAATTTGAACTCTATAAAGGGATGTTTTCATATTCTAAAATTCAAATCCCACAGGTAAGATGCTTAAGTTTCTATGAACACATTAAAGATATATCCACTGTCCCCATGCTTCTGTTCAACAGGTCATAGCTAGCTAGCTTTACAACAATTCCTTTGTCCCCTTTAAGAAAGAGTGAGGAGCTGGACACCACTGTGTCACGCCTGTAATCCTATTACTCAGGAGGCTGAGATCAGAGGATTGGGGTTTGAAGCCAGTCTGGGCAGAAAAGTCCCTGTGAGACTCTTATCTCCAATAAACTACTCAAAAAAGCAGGGACAGCGCGCAGGCCCAGGATAGAGGGTGGAGTGGGGTGGCAGATACAGTGACAAGAAAAGAACTTGAGCAAGCACTGTACTTTGTTTTCTCTCTCTGGAAGCTATTTCTCAGTTATTGTGTCATTACCAGTTGTAATGGGACCCCAAAAAATATCAGCCACATGTTCATTTGGCTCTTTTTTTTTTGTATTGGATTTGAATGCAGGGCCTTGTGCTTGCTAGGCCAACACTCTAAGCTGAGCCCCCCCGCCTTTTTTTTAACACTCAGTATTGTGAGATATAGTCATTTACTTTTTGCTTAGGCCTGTGCTTGACTGTGTTCCTTCTATTTTATGCTTCCCACCATAGCTTAGATAACAGGTGTAAGCTACTGTGTCAGGCTTTTTCCACTAAGAGGAAGTCTTACTAATTTTTTGCCTGGGCTGGCCTGAATCAGATCTTCACGATCTCAGCCCCATGAACATAAGCTCGCAGTTATTAGCTTTGGCTTGTGTTTATAGGGAGCTATACCTTCATGTTGGTGCAAAGCTCTGAAAAACTTACCTTTAAAACAAGTGCATAAGAGAAAGTCTTTAGCAGAATTTTGGGGGAAAATGAAATATTTATGATCGTCATCACACAAAGGAGCTTCAAGTACTCTTACTTAGTTACTGGATGAAGAAAAGACACTAGGAACCAAGGATTAAAGATGAAAATATACTGCTGATAAGAGCTTTTCATTGCCAGTGTCTTGAATGTAACCCATTATGGCATTCACAATGTCTTGTAGTATGAGTTGAAATGCTTTCACAAGCATTATTCTACAGCATCCTTGAATGTAAATCCTTACATAGCCCAGGCTTGATGGGTCTCAGTGAATATTTATCAAACGACTGAAAAGCTATGACTGTCAAATACAGATATAGTTCAGAATCACTTGTGGAACTTAAAAGAGAAAAAAAGGTCCCTATCTCTCAAATCTCTAGGAATGGGGCTTGGATATGTGCATATGAATGCGTGTTTTTTTGACATTTTATTATATAAGCTTTCAAAGTTGCCTGAAAATGGAGAGAATAATAAAATGGACCCCTTTATGCATGATCCACTCAAACAGTGTGAACATGTTGCCAATTTTCTTTCATCTGTCCTCTCAACATTTCTTTGCTAGCATTTAAAATATCTTAAACATTAGACTTCAGACATACATGAAAGTAGAATAGTATAATGATCCTGCATGTTCTCCTCACCCCACTAGAATGCATTGAAGCAAATCGCAGACATTATGTCATTTCCCCGACAAATAGGGCATGTGTATTTTCTTAAAGCTCTACAGTGACTCTGGTGCACTCTCCTCCTTTAGATCAGTTAACCCAGCTTTTCAGTGATTGAGATGAGGTCTTTTTGCCTGAACTGGCCTCCAACTGCAGCCCTTCTGATCTCCCCTTCTCAAGCAGCTAGAGCTACAGGTATAAGCCACCATTCCCAGAACATTTTATTTTTTATTTCTTTAGTGGGGCTTGTCTTTGTCAAGGTAGACTCTGCTGCTTGAGCCATGCCCTATGTTTCTAGTTCTTTAGAATTGGAGATTTACGAAGATCAGGAGGATAATTACATCTCCAAGTCTATATTCTATAAATATTTTCAAAGTTCTGAGCTGATGAAGACATCATGTTATATCAATCTCATCTCTCCGACTCATTTAACCTATGCTAGCTCAGAGACAAAAAGAACTTTTCTTTTTTTTTTTTTTTTGCCCATCCTAGGGCTTGTCTGATCAGGGCCTGGGCACTGTCACTGAACCGCTTTATGCTCAAGGCTAGAGTTCTACCACTTGAGCCACAGCACCACTTTGGGCTTTTTTTTGATATAGTTTATTGAAGATAAGAGTCTCACAGACTTTCCTGCCCAGGCTGGCTTTGAACTGCAATCCTCCAATTTCAGGCTCTTCAGTGGCTAGGATTACAAGCGTGAGCCACTGGAGCTGGTGGGACCTTTTCTTCGTTCTTGTTGTTTTTGATTGTGTTTTTGGTACTAAGGATTAAACCCAGGACCTCATGCATGAGTGTTTGCCTAGCCCTGGGATTTAATTTTCTTTTTTTGTTTTCTCTTATTTATTTTTTTAAATCATCTTTAAGTGGTTGTATAAGGAATTTCAGTTCAAGTCAGTTTGTAAGTAAAATGCATCTCGATCAAAGTCATTCCTTCCATCATCCTCCCCCATGATTCTCAGTTCTACCCATACCCTCAATTTACTTGGTTCCATTTCAATTTAGCTTTCTAAGAGAATGAAATGGCACTTCTGCCCTCTGCATAGTTAATTTTTCTGAGCCCTTTTCCCCATTTATGAAATGGAAGCAGTTACCTTACTGAGGATTATGGTGAAGGTAAATAAAAAGATGAAATGAGACGGCACAGGCAAGAATGTCTGCTGAATAGAGTGAGTACACGGGGCACATGATCCTTCCTGCTACTGGTTCCAGAAAGGGCTGGACAACCCAAACCCTCTCATGAAAAGTTTTTGTCTAAGCCCTAGCCTGTTAATCTACTCTGCAGTATATGGAAAACGGAATTGCTAATTCCATGTCAGTACATACAGAGGAAAATTCAATATACATAGGCAACTTAAAATTCCCTGTGTGTTCCTTATTAATACTCTGATAAAAATTATTGATCTTTTGATTCACAGAGTATTCTCACAGTCACTTTTGAAGTACCAGGAAATGCCAAAGAAGAAAGTCTGAATGTATTTATTCAGGTGAATGCGATTTTTGACTGGTTAATGATTTATCAGCTGTTTTGTTGCCTAGTAGCATTAGTGACGGTTGGTCTTATTAAAATGTGTTACTTGGTGCAGAATCTCCTGTGGGAAAAGAACGTGCGAAACAAGGAGGAGCGCTGCATGGAGGTCATCCGGCTGAAGGTAGGCGGTTGCTTCCCTGTGGATGCTGGAACAGAGTCCTTCTGTGGCTCTTATAGAAAAGTCATATCTTTGGGGTTAGTGCAAATAACCTCGGTCCGCTTTCATTTTTATCATCTCCACTGCTGAAAGGAGTTTTGGAAATTACTGCAGAAAGCATGATTTATTCATGGTACAGGTAAAACAACCTACTCTTTGACTACTGGAAGTCCCTGCTCTGCACTTCCAGTACTCAGTCAAAACTTTTCCTCTTGCCCCACACATTGGTCATGTAGAGAAAACTCGGTTAATTTTTCTAAGAGAGCTTCATTTAAAAGAGAAAGGATTTTGAGAATCCCACACTGATGGACCTTATGCGTTTTGATGCATTTAGCAGACACTGAAATTGGCTATACAAAGTTATACAAAGGACTAGGAGAATTCTTGTTCTGTGTTAAACTTATTCACCCCACTTGACATTTGGGTATGCATATCACCAAAGGTGTTTTTCCCAGGAGACAATGGTTCCAGGTATGTGCTTAACTCGTCAGCAGTCACTTGAATGTGTACTCTTAGAGGTTCACACAAGTGTGTACACTTGCTTTTGTTGCTAGAATCACAGAGGATGAGATTTAGGGGAAACTTTTGACGTGGACTTTCTCCCTCCCTATGCTGGCTTATTTGAAGATTGTTCTGCAGAGCAGTGCAAAGAATCTCAGGCTGCCTTCCCAATATTCCCTCTCAGAGGCCCAGAACCGACTCTGAAGCTGCCTGTGACTACAGCATTACTGACATCGTAGGATGCTAAGTGGCAAACCATAGAAGCAGATAAAGAACTGCTTCTATCCCGTAGAACTCAAGCTACCACCCGGACCTGCACAGAGTGCAGTGGCTCCTCGTGAGCTCTCCCAGGCTGTATCCTGTCCTTCACTGTGTGACAGTTTTTTACTCGTCCTCTTCAGTTCTTTGGCCTTTATTATGTCACAACACAGAAGGATTCTGGAAGAAAACTATATTCTTGGTCTTCATTTTCCTGTTATCAAGTATTAGACCTAGCCCCATCTCTGTAGAGGGAGAGGGTGGTAGCACACTTGTCCTGTGTGCAGGGAATCCTGAGTTGTCCCCGCATCCCTCCCTAGTTAACTTCAGTAGCAGCTAATGTTTTATAGTCTTTGTAGAAGTAACACAGAAGTGGAGCTCATGTAATACTTTCCAAGGAGCTTTTTGGTTTTTGTTTTTTTTAACTATAAAAATTGAAAAAAAGCAGAACACAAAACTGGATATAGAAAAATAAAATCAGGAAAGAAATACATTAAAAATACACAAATGGGCCAATAATACACAAAAAATGTGTGGCATCAATGACTGAGTGGTTTGTCTTCAACCATTTTTAAAATGCATATATAGTATATGTATGTAGTGAACATTGCTTTATTAATTTCATCCTTGTAGGAGTTAGTTTATCAGATAAAACGTTCTCATTTTTATAAATGAATACAACATAATTTCTATCCAGGTATTATAATAAATTTTTTCTTTTATAATTGTCTAAATCCATTTATTGCAGTTCATTTCCAAAACAAACTATAAACCACTAAAATCCTTTAATTTCTCAAAAATCCTAACTAAAGAAATATAAAATCTTTAAAAGCAGAACAATTAGTAGAATATGGCATAGGACATACTCTATTTTTCTGCTTCAGTTCAGGCTTTTTGTGGGTATATGTGACATATATTGAAAGAATATCCCAATCTATATTTATTTTACTATTAGGGTGCTTCAAAGGGTGCTGGGCGCTTACAGCTCACACCCTGCTACTCAGGAAGCTGAGCTACAAGGATTGCATTTCAAATCTAGATTGGGTAGGAAAGTCTGAGAGAACTAGCAAAATGCTGGAAGTGGAGATGTGGCTCAAGTAATAGATTGCACCAGTCTTGAGTAAAAGAAGCCAAGTGAGTATGACTCTGAGTTCAAGCCCCAGTACCAGCACACAAAAAGGAATTGGTAGGCCCTGGTGGCTCACACCTGTAATCCTAGCTACACAGGAGGTGAGATCTGAGGAACCTGGTTCAAAGCCATCCTGGAAAAAACTGGAAGTGGTGCTGTGGCTCAAAGTGGCAGAACGCTAGCTTTGAGCAAAAGAGGTCAGACACAGTGCCCAGGCTCTGCGTTCAAGCCCCATGATGGAAAAAGGAAAAGGAATTGTTGGGCCAACAAATGGAGAGAGAAACGGTGGGTGTACACAGGCATAATAGTCAATGTGCATATGCGAACATGGAGCCAGGAAACTTGAGGGCTGGGCAGGATTGAGAGAGATGGGTGAGGGGAGAATGATCAACATGCATTCCACGCCTAAGTTGACATGTTGTATCGAAACCCCTTGAACAACTATTTCAAGATAAGATAAAAAATCCATGGAAAATATTAAAAAATGATTTTTGAAAAATGGATGCATATAAAAACCTTTTTTATTAGAAGTTTTAAAAACTTTTCCAGGACTGGGAAGTTGGCTCAGTGGTAGAGCGCTTGCCTTGCATGCCTGAGGCCCTGGGTTCGATTCCTCAGCACCACATAAGAAAAAGGCCGGAAGTGGCGCTGTGGCTCAAGTGGTAGAGCGCTAGCCTTGAGCTGAAGGGCTGAGGGACAGTGCCCAGGCCCAAAGTTCAGGCCCCACGCCCGGACCCAAAAAAAAAAAACAAACACATAAAAACTTTTCCAGTGTACAAAATACTGGAATGAAATAGTTGTGCAACTTCTTTCTATGTTCCTATTTTGAAAAAGAATAGCAGAAGTTAATCCATTCACATTGATGTGTTCTTTCTGCTTTTGAATTTGAGCTGGGGCTGACTGATTGTTCTCCTTGGATCAGGGACTGGTATCTCTCAAAGACAAACCACAACAGGTTATCCTCCAAGGGGTCCATGAGCTGTATGACCTGGAGGAGACGCCCCTGAGCTGGAAGGAGAACAGTGAGAGAACAAATCGACTAGTCCTTATTGGTAAGTGATAAAGTAAAATTTCTAAAGCAATATAGATTGGAGAACTGAGCATGGTAGTCCCAGCACTTGGGCATCTGGGGCAGGAGAATTGAGTTTAAGGCCTGCCTGGATTACACAGCAAGAGCCTCTCAACAACAACAAAAACAAACCCAATAGATGACATTAGATGACATAATGTGCTCAGCAATATTAACCAGTCTTATTTTATAACTAATAAATAATAACTGAAACGAATAACTCTTCTTTTATAACTAATAAAGCTTGAGCTAATGTATTTTAATCACCTCATGGAATTCCAAAGAGCTTTTTAGACCTTTTACTCTTTAAGAACTCACTAAAAAGTGAACACTTCCAAGCATTACATTTAAGACTTAACTAGAAAGTTAAAGAAGAAATAATTGAATTCCTGTTGTTTTTGTAAATTCCTAAAGATCACCAAGCATTTAGTACTCTGGAATTGATAGACAAATTATGTCATTTTAATAAGCACAATCACTAAGTATTTAGTGATTATATATAGTCTGGAATTAATAGATGAACTGTGTCCTTTTAGTAAGGATAAGATAATCACCCCATATTTTGTTTTGTTTTGCAGGCAGGAATTTAGATAAAGATATCCTTAGGCAACTATTTATCACTACAGTGTTGGAAACTGAAGAGCCGTGGACCTCGGCAGATCCCATTTGTCCCTAGCGCTGCGGTCATTCTTGTGAACAGGACTCTGTCATGAAAAGAAAACAGGGATGTTTCTGGCTGCTGTATTTCAACCAGCTTTTCTCATTACTTCTGTGCTGAATTCCAGTGTACTTGAAACTGTATTTATTTAACAGAATACGTAAAATGTCAATCAATACTGTAAAAACATTTGGCATTCATGCAATAAAATATATCCTCTGAATTTGTTTTTAGAGACAGTATTTCCCAAAAAAATTCCATAATTCATCTTTATTTCCCTTGGGACTTTAGCTGATTACAGCGATATAATACATTATTGTTATTAACAAAAGTTCTTAAGGCAAGTATTGTCATTGTTAATTAAGTGAAACAATTATTTGCTGTCTCTAGAGATTTTAAAAGTGGAGGAAAATCTCTCATAATTAGTGATGAACTGTAGTTTTATAATATATTTAGAGGAGTCCAATTATAGTGCTTTAAGTAGCTTTTACTGCTAGTATTAAATTCATCATGATTATTTTGGAGTTCCTCAGGTCTCAGGTTTTCTTACATGATGCAGTGTAAGCCACCGGCTAGCTACAGAAGTGGTTTCATCCTGACATTTCCATACGTGTATAGTGCACTTCAGTCTTGCTCATTCCTTCTTTTGCCTTCTGAGCCCTTTTCCTCTCTCAGTGGACCCTTCCTCTTCACAGTTACCCACTAACTTTCATACCTTTTTTGTTTGTTGGTTTGTCTGATCTTTTTTCCAAACAGAAATGCCCATGTAAACAGAACTAGTACTTAAGGTACTGAGGTTTACTTGTGATGTCATACTTGCTAGGAAGGGTACTCTGCCTCTTGAGCCAAACTCTCAGGCAATTTTACTTTTACTTTGAGGATAAAGCCTTTTGTTTTTGTGTGGGGCCAGGTCACCTTCCAAGGAGCTGGCATCCAGTTGTAAGCCTCCATTCCCTTTTGTTGAGGGTCCTGGTAACTGCTTAGGTTGGCCTTGAATCAGAATCCTCCTGATCTCTGCCTTCCCAGTAGCCAGAAGTGATATAATATGGTCTGTACCTCACTCTTCTACCATCCTACTTTTGAAAAATGGAGAGTACTCCTATGAGACAAAAATGTGTGGTGTCTGTCTTTCTTTTTAATCTGTTTTTTTTTTTTTTTGGGTCGTGGAGCCTTAACTCTGGGCCTGGGCACTGTCCTTCAGCTCTTCAGCTCAAGGCTAGCACTCTACCACTTGAGCCACAGCGCCACTTCCAGCTTTTTTCTTCTTGCTTATGTGGTGCTGAGGAATCAAACCCAGGGCCTCATGCATGCAAGGCAAGCGCTCTACCACTGAGCCACCTTCCCAACCCCCAATTGGATATAAATTTCAATAGGGCATGCATTTTTCCCAGGGTTTCATTCTTTACACATGCAATGATATTAGCACATTATGCTTC